AGCTTCCCCCAGCACTCACCCCCTGCCGCCCCGCCGTCGCTCCCCGCCGGGCCGGCCTCGCTGTCGGACTCAGGCTCGGAATCCTCCGCGTAAACCGCCAACGACGACAGAACGTTCCGCTTGGCCGCTGCCATTTTCCTCAGCCCGGCTAGTGCAGGACACAACTTCCGGCGACTGGCGATGACGCAAGCAAAAGAAGGCGGTATGGGCGAGCGCCATAGCAACCTGGCCTGCCCCTTCCGGCGGGTGCTGAGCCGGACGGACTCAAGTCCTACGCCGAGCCGCAGGCGCTTCTTGGGGCTGAGCAGTGCCGAGAAGCGAGTGGCCCTGTGAGAAGGGAGGGGAATGTGCGCCCACGACCACAAGACTCTCAAATCAACGGGACCTACCGGGTTGCTGACAGGGGATTGGCTATGACGTCATTAATCGTCGCCCAAGCGAGAGCAACACCCCCAAGGAAGAGCATCCCAATGACGGAAGCTTAATAAGTGCGAGTAACGCGGTGGGGTGGCTGGGGCGGAAGGATATAAATTGGGGGAAGCGTAGGGCTAAAGGGGAAAGGGACGTTGTTAACACTGGGAATAAAGTAGTTCCTGCAGTGAGAGTGCCGGCGGGGGTACTCTCGTGGGCCCGAATCTCTTCCTAAGGCGGGGGGGGGGACCTTAGTTCAGGCGGTTCCTTTGCCAAGCGGGGTTTGCCCTAAAATCCAGCTCTGCTCTGGGTTGAAGGGGACCCTGAGTTTGTACCTTTCCATCCTCACCCTCTTCCCCGCCTGGCAGTTTCAGCTTTGCTGCCTCAGTGATAATTGGGGGGAAGGGCTTTCGGGAGAAGGTGGGAAGAGAGGGGCGTGGGGGGAGGATAGAGCCAAGATATGTGGGAGAGGGGAAGGAAGGAAATAGTGGATGTAAGGGAGAAGAAACGCCCAGAAAGTGGCACTGTTGGCAGACCAGGGAGGCGAGAAAGTGCCAGTGTGAAAAGAGCTGCTGTGAGGGGATAGAAGGTGGTAGCCAAGGGACAGGGATTGAGAGGAGGCAGAAAGGACACAAATGTTCTCTTAGCCTTTCCTGTTTAATCAGACCATTCAGCCCATAGCAGGCTTCCCAGAGGAGTGGCAGGGTGTGTGTGAATCAGATGCTCTGATCATTCTAAAGAGAGTTGTGCAGTGGGTTCTTTTCTCGCCCAGCTGTTTCAGACATGTGGCTCTGTATTAGAAACACTAGTTAGAACTGTGTCTAAGAAGAGACTTGCTGCCAGTGTAAAAATTAGATTAGATTTCCCTATTTTTAGAACGGAAGAGGGAAGCTGATTTATAAGTGATTATGTTTAAGAGAAACATATATATTCTCTAACTGCTCCAGGAATATTTGTTAACTTGGATGCTTAGGCAGTCGAGAATCTAATGGGAAAAAATATTAGTGACCAAAAAGAATTTGTGTTTGGTTGCTTGTGTAAATAACAGTTGAGCTAAGTAAGCTCCTTTCCTTCTTACCTTGACCTATTTCCAGTACTGTACCTATACGATGAACAACTACACTTCCTCAGGCCTGGATGGCAAGGTCCAGAAAACTCTGAAAAAGGTCTTTGGTTTTGACTCCTTTAAGACCTCTCTGCAAGAGAGTGCAACCATGGCAGTGGTGAAAGGTAAGGCATTACTGCCTTTCTTGGGACTCTAATCTTGTCTCTTCAGTTTTCAGGTTGTTGTCTGACAGTGGTTCTTTGAATACCATATCACTTGTTTCCACTAGCACATGCACACAGTTGCTTTCAGTTCACAGATCATTAGTATGGTTCTTCCTATTAAATAGCATGGCCTTGGTTTGCATCCTCTTTTTGTTAGTGGATGTTGTGTTATACAGTGATTCTCTGTACAACTTAGAGATTCTCAGCTCCATTAGTGGGAGACTTGGTGGTAAAGTTTAACAGGCTGCGGTAAAGGTTCAGGTGTTTTGGTAGGTGGATGTAAAGCCTATCTTATAAGTTAAAAGCAAACTTCTCTGGAAGTAAGCTGATATTAGTTTGGAATGTCACTTAACTTCTTTTTGATTTACACTCCTGGGTAGAATAATTTCCTGTCTCCCAAGCGTATTATGATATTTAATTAACTATTCTAAAGTTATTAGAAATGCTTGGAAGGAAACTAGGGCAGAAGTGCAAAATATTGCAGCTATTAGTCTTTTAAAAATTAAAATAAACCTCTCTCAATTTGTCATGCAGCAGTGTACTTGCAGAGATGTGCTTTTAATGCAATTTGTCTTGATCTACAAGACTTTGTGCCAGTCCTCCAGAGCAAAATTTAGATGAATTGCCAGTTTAGTAGCGTTTAGCTTTGTTTTGTTGTCTTTGCAGGTGAAAATGATGTCTTTGTATGCATGCCCACAGGGGCAGGGAAATCCCTGTGCTACCAGCTTCCTGCAGTTCTGGCAGTGGGCATTACCATTGTCATTTCACCTCTGATTGCACTGATTCAGGTAACCATCTCCTGTTAACTGCGGAAAAGCAATCAATGAAGGGAAGATGGAGAGACTGTGTGGAGACACAATTGAGTCTAATCCCTTCCCCCACTGCCAACCTGTGATTCCAGTTTGCCCCTTTATTTTCACTGACATAGGTTTGGATTTTGATACTGTGAACGGAAAAGACTACTGCTGCTAACTGCCTTGACAGTAGAATTTTTCCAATTAATCCTAGTTGAAAGTATCCTAGCTTGTCAGGTCTTTATCCAAATCTAACACCCTAAAGGTGGGAATAAGGGGATTTTAACTACATTAGCTGCTGTGGGAATTCAGTTTTAACCTTTAACAGGTGATTTAAATTATCACTTTTTTTCTCTGTTTGCCTCCATTGCCTGCCAAAGATGTGCTTTCTAGAGGCAGCAGTGTCAACATCTAAAATGAATTAAATTGGACCATTCCTAAGAAAAGAACTACTATTTTATCTATTTCTGTAGTAAAAACCTTTGGGCGATAATCATTTTTTCCTTATAATAAATATTTTTGCTCAGTATCTACCTTCCTTTCTCTCATTCTTCCCAATTCTATCCTGGAGAGAGGAAGCTTCAGGCAGTACCACTTCTTGAACTCTTAAGGCTTCAGGGCAATTACATGTGGACATTTGGTCTTTTCTGGTGCTTTGTCACCCAGCTGTGAACAGTGAGCTTCCCTGAGTATAGCTGCTGTTTTACTTGGACTTTTGTAAGGCATTTGACTTAATATCACACAACAGTGTGATGAGCATGTACTTTGACACTGTCTTGTGGTATTTTTTAGAAGGGATCAGGAACTAGTTAAGTGATTGACAACTATTTTTTGAGATCAATGAGGAATTCCCATCAAATGGGGTTGTTACTAGTGACTTACCACAGGGATTAGAGCTATGTTGTGACACTTCAATATTCTTGTTCGTTATTTGAAAATAAATATATAGTTTTTGGATAACATAGCGATTGACAGAATGGTAAATAATTATGAGTTGGAGCAACTTGGTATACTAGACCCATTCAAACAAAATGCATTTTGATTCTCCCAAATGCAACTTTACACATTCAGGAACAATTAATGCAGGCCATAACTACAGAGTGGAGGACTGTATCCTGGAAAGGAGTGACCCTGCGCATGAATTGGGAGTCTGTGGACAAGCAACTCAACATGAGCTGACAGTGTGATTCTGTGGCCAAAAGAATTGATACAATCCTGAGCTATAAAAATGGAGTAGAGAGGTGCCCTTACTTTTGTAGGGTCATTGTGAAACTGATACTGGAATGCTGCATGCTGTTTTTTAAAGAAAGCCCCCCAAAATTATTTGAGGGCAGGAGAAAAGGCAGTTTTTGGTGACAAAAGTTGGTAGTAGGGATGTAGCCTCAGTGTAGGGATCTGATGCTGATCATCCTGAAATAGTCTCATTGTCATTTCCAACATCTGAAAATGACTGGGTCCTTGCTGATAGCCTCAATGCTGATGAGAGAACCATTGTCTCCTATAAATAATAATGGCCACCTAAAGATATGGATGGATGATCAAGCCAAGCAGTTTTGTTAGCTGCTGCAGATAAGCCTGTCTTAAAAGACTCTAGTACTTTTGCTTGAAGACAGTTGGAGCTGAGGCTATACAGAAGTTGAGAGGGGTGAACAGGGTTTGGAAACTATAGGTTTAGAGGTGAATCTTGGTTATTGTGTGTATTTCTGCAGTAGCTTTCTTGGTAAACACAGCTTTCTTTAATGCCATTTGCTTCTTCTTTAATTACAGGACCAAGTGGATCATTTGTTGGCACTGAAGGTCAAAGTCTGTTCTCTGAGCTCCAAGCTTTCTACTCAGGAAAGGAAGCCCATCCTGGCTGACTTGGCAAGTGAGAAGCCCCGGGTGAAGCTCCTGTATATTACGCCAGAAATGGCAGCTGCCTCCTCCTTCCAGCCCACCCTGAACTCCCTGGTGTCTCGAAACATCTTGTCCTACCTAATAATTGATGAGGCTCACTGTGTCTCCCAGTGGGGACATGATTTCCGACCCGACTACCTGCGGCTGGGCATCTTACGCTCTCGCATACCCAACACACCGTGTGTCGCCCTGACTGCCACAGCCACCAAGCAGGTTCAGGATGACATAGTGGTGTCACTTAAGCTAAAGCAGCCTGTTGCCACCTTTAAGACTCCTTGCTTCAGATCTAACCTGTTCTATGATGTGCAGTTTAAGGAGTTGTTGACTGATCCCTATGTGAATCTGAAGGATTTCTGTCTGAAGGCACTTGAAGAGAAGAATGCCCAAGGGGTAAGTTTAATTCTCAGAAGCTACTTTCAAGGACAGAATGGTAAATGGAACCGAACTATCCTAAATGTTGTGGTATCAGGTTGATAATAATGGGTCTGCATGGGGAAGGGAGAGGTCCCTGTAAAAAACATGCTCAGATACTTTTTCAGAAACTTCTAAATCTCTGAAATACTTGGCATCCTTCCAGATATTGACTTCACCTTAATGACAGGGTGTCAAACTCCTCTGTCTTTGGAGAGTGACACTCACAGTTGCTGCCCTCTTCCTCCAATCCTTCACCAAGCCTAAGTGAATGGGGACTAATGGGAGGGAAGTCCTGCAGGAAGTCAGGGGAAGAATCATGGCCTAAAAGTGGAAGGGTGGAGAGAAACAGTCACTCCACAGCTGCTACTGCCGTTGCCTCACGGGTTCTGTTTATGGTAAGGAATTGGACATTGCAGATGTGCTCCTGTCCCTCCCTACAAGCCTGATTGTTCAGGGAGTTACTGCAGGTCAGCATTTCAATACATATCTGATGGAGACACTCTCTGTGGGCTCCTCAAGTCCTGCATCTTCCTCTTCACACTGGAATCCCACTGCTGCTTCTGCAGCTGAGGTTTGTTTTGGAGGAAAGGGCACAATTTGTGTCTCAGAAAGCTTTGTTCACCGTAATACTTTGAATCTTCAATTGAGGTGGTTTGATTGTTTCAAGAAACTACATCTGAAGATCTCCCTGGCTTTCGCGGATGAGAGAACCACATCCCTTCTGCTGTCTGCTAGCCCCCAGTTTCTTTGATGCGTACATCACCTTCCTTATCTCTGAAAACCTGACAAGGAAGCCGCATCATAGACCTTCTAGACCTCAAAGTGGTATCTCCATAAAGGTGTTTATTTAGACAAATCCTTGAAAACCATAGGTTGAAACCACACAGCTTCACCCTCCGTAGTCACCAGTGTTGGTTGCTTGTTATGCCGTGATTTCAGAAATCTTCCTTTTAGTATTTAAAACCCTAAATAACTGAGGGCCGGTCTACCCAAGGATCTGCTCCCCTACCCTGTTGTGGTGTGGCTGGAACTGCTGTCTGAAGTCTGGTAAAGCTCTGGAGGGTGTAGCATTCAAGAATGTTCTCACTGCTTATTGGGTCCAATCCTGCAACATGCCCTCCATTCCCTACAGAAGTCAGTGAGAGTTGGCTGTGCTTATCAGTTCACAGGATCAGGCCCACTGTGCCAAAGATCATTCTGGTGAGCCTTCACATGTCCCTGTTGTTTCAGCATATGCTTATTTCCTTTATGGTTAAGAGGCCTGGGTGGGGGCTTGGTGTGGGTTCTGTGTCCGCTCTAATCATCTTGGGTCTTGCTGGTTTTTATTTAATTTAGTGAGCTGTTCTTATAGCCAGTTAAAACAAAGGTGCCTTTACATATGGGCCACTCTAAATACCTTTACACTTCTAACAATATATATGTAACTTTTCTTTCTTAGCTGACTTTTTCTCCCATTTGACAGATGCACGGCTATAAGTTTAGTTTTGCTGTGCGTCTGTGGGGGAAAAGCTGAAAGAGGACGCATTGCACAATGGTTTGCACACTAGCCTAGGATATAGAAGAAGTGGGATCAGTTCTCCCTCTGTGACTCTGGAACAGTCACTCTTCTGTGTGCCTCAGTTCTGCATGTGCAAAATGGGGATAATTGCACTGCTGTACCCCATTAGAGATTGTGTAGAGGTCAGACACTACAGTGATAGGCCATAGACGTCTCTAAGAGTCTCAAGTGTTTGTAGCCCTGTCCCATCAGTAGCAGTGGCTGTTAGCATTCTCTGAATTCCCCTGGACAGTGTGCTGGATTTTCTCTTCTCTGGCTCTGTGTAGGTATACGCTGGCTGTGGCATTGTGTACTGCAGGATGAGAGAGGTCTGTGAACAATTGGCTGTTGAGCTGAGCTACAGAGGAGTGAAAGCCAAGGCCTATCATGCAGGTACTGGAAGTCATGTCCACATTGTACAGCCCCTCACTCAGAGCTGCAGAATTTCACATTATCTAACAATCTAGGTCAGAGCTACCATAGGGAGCATCTCTCTCTCTGTGTGAGCCTGTAACTGCTGAGATTTGGCCAGGAGCTCAAGCTGACAGGCACCAGAGATAGGTGGGGTAGGGTCCAATGGTGTTCCTTTGGTTCTAGAACTCAGTTTCCTCTGCTGATCCACCAGACCTGGAAAATATTGCTCTCTAAGACATAGTTCCAGGCCTTTCTATTCAGGCTTTTGCCTGAGAGGGAACTGAATTTTCCCGTTTGGAGCGTGGGGAGTGCTGAATGTTTTTCTTTGATAATGAGCCAGTCCAAAGTACGGATTATTGTATTTGGCTTTGACCAGCATATTGTTATACATAGGGAGTGGGGAGAGATTGCTGGGATACTGAGGGGTGAAAGGGTATCTCCTCTTTCTCTCTGATGTCCCTGCTTTCTCTCCGTTTCCCTCCTCAGGGCTGAAGGCAGCAGAAAGAACTTCAATTCAGAATGAGTGGATGGAGGAGAAGGTCCCTGTTATTGTCGCTACCATCAGTTTTGGAATGGGAGTCGACAAAGCTAACGTCAGGTGTGTAGGAGCTTGAGCAGAGAGGGGGAAATGTCCTCCGTAGGGTCCCTTCCCATTTAGAACCTGATATGCTTCTCTAGCCCTTTCTGCGAAGAAACCATATTGCCACAAGGGGGAGTAGAGATGGGAGGGATTCATATTCAAACTTCATAAATGTGTGAGAAGGATTTCAATTTAGAAGCCGTGGAGAGCAGAAAGGTTGGGCTTTTACTTGTTACGGGATACCAGTGTTAAACACAGATCGTTGAAGGGTCTGGCTTGAGGGCACCTGCTACAAACAAAGAAAGTGCACTCTCCTTTGCTGCTCTCAGAGGTCTAAAGGGGCCTGACAGTTGCTTTGGCAAGATTAGGTTTTGATTTTCTTGTTCTGCTAGAGTTTGTTAGAAAGCAGGAAACAAGCATCAAATAAAAAAACCACCCTTTCTTAGTTGCTTTTTAGAACTGTGGTTAATACCTGATCAACTCAAACTGCTGACAGACACTTTGAAGAAAATCTGTCTTTGTGAAAGATTCAGTACACCTGACTCTTCAGTTAAGGGACAAGAGAGCTCAAATTCTTTAGTCTATCAAAAATGGGGCAGACAAAAATTGATATTCCTGATATTTTTTAAGGTAAAGAACAAACAAAAAGAGAGAAATCCTTTCAGGCCTTCTTTATGCATCATAATATCTGGTTTGGGTTGTCGTTTTTTTTTATGTAGGGGGAAACATGCAAAACATGCCTGTTTGCAAGTCTCCAGGAAATGCAGAAGAATGCCATCTCTTCTTGCATTTATGCTTGAGCATGTTGTGGGGCAATACCATTGTTAGAGTAAGGATGAGACTCGTTGTTTAACAGCTGATTCTTCTGAAATCCTTGAGCATAATAGCATTAATGAAATAAATGGAAAATTAAATTCTCGGTCAGCAGCAGCATTACAGTAGCCTGATCATGCTGTTCACGCGGTCTTAAACAGTTGGGAAGTGAGCATGATGAAAGAAAAACAAGCATCGCCTCAATGGTAGCCTGATCAAACAGTCTGCTGACCATCAGCAAAATCAGCCATGACAGAGAGTTCTAGTCTAAGGACTTATTTGAGGTTGACACTGAATCTGTTATTGCTCCAAACAGCAACTGGTGTTTGTGAAGAAAAATAAACACAGAAAACACATTTCATCTTTCTACAATAATTCATTCAGTCTAGAGACACTGAAAGAGTCTGGCCGCTCTTACTACATTTATAATGCAGAGGCGCAGTGGTCCTGGACCTGCTCGCGTTGGGTCCAGCAGCCCTTGTTTGCGGCAGGCTGCTTGGTGGGAAAGCCCCTGTCTGCAGAGGGGCCCAGCTGCCAGAGCAGCCTCCCCTATCCTGCCCTACTGCCTCTGACAGAGACAGTGAGGGGAGGGGGCAGGCTGCACCGTGGAGACAGTGCTGGGGGAGCTGGTTTTTAAGGTGAGTACTCCACTCGACTACTCGCCTACATCCCTAATCCCTAACACAGTGAAGAGCAGCGTGGGAGCATGCATGAATGACAAAATACATAAAACAGCACATTTAGTCATTCCGTGTTGCTCGTAAAGGAAAAGCTGCCCATAACATACTTACAGTAGAACCCCAGTGGCGCTTGCGAGCTCCTGGTAGAGCATTAGGTTTGTAGTGCAGATGTGACTATTTCCTGACTTTCAGTGGTTTAAGTTTAGATGGATTTGACGTTCCAGAACGTCAGTGGTTCTGCTGATCAACCCTAGCCCTGCAGAAGGAAAGTTTGTAGCCTGTGAATTGTACACAGGTTTTCAGCTATAGGATCATGCCTGGGAAGTGCTGGAGGAGGCTCTGGAAAGAGAATGGAAGGAGGGTTGAGATGGTCTCTTTGCTTCAGCTGTAGTCACTCTGTCTGCAGCTTGAATATTGCTGTTGCTGGATATGACATATTTGAGGTGCTCATAAACATACAAGCAAGGAGGTTTTTTTTATATTCTGTTGCCTCCTGACTGTTCCTGGATATGAGAGAATGTTTTGGTTTAAGTGGAGAAATTCAGTTACTTGATTCTTGCAGTCTCTCCCTTCATACATCTGCAGCACATGAACTTCTGGAGTATGGGTTTTAGCACAGTCTGATCCTTTGTTTATTGGCAGCACCTCACTGGAGCATAAACTGCTCTGGGATGTGGCAGGTAGAGAACACAACTAGCAGTGAATGTTCTAGCATTTGTAGATTTCAGTCAGCCATGCAATGGTATTTGGAATGCAGTTTTTGTGTGTGTTTAATGGTGTTTTAGTAATGATCCAGGGTTAGAGCCCTGTGTGGATACAAAATTTGTATCCACATCTGTAAAAATGAGCTGCAGATATCTGCATTCACATCCACAAATGCAGATACTCAGGGATTTGAAGGGCTCTGTCTGTGGTAGCATATTATGATTGGGAGAGAGGCCTACGTGTGCAGCTGAACTTTCAGCTAGATTCCGTATGCATAACTTGTAAGCAAAGAAGTTTCTAACAGACGTTTAAGCAAGGAAAATGCTTTGGGCCTTGGCAAAGTTCTATGGCCTATGTTGTAAGACGGTCAAACTAGATTCCAAGGGTCCCTTCTGTCCTCGGAATCTATAAATAGTACTATTATAACACAGGTAGCAATTCCTTAAGGTAAATAAAGCACACTAATAACATGCATAACTCTGTAGTAAAAGAACCCAAGCTCATGGATATCAGTACTGGTTTTGCCTCACTTCATAGCTATATATCTTCATGCATTTGTAGTATATATACACCATGTTTATTCTCCATTTGCTTTGGGTGTGCCCCACCAACATATTGTTCAAAGATATGCTCGGCTGTTGTAGCTTCCCTTGGTGCCTCTTGCTGCTTTAAGAATGTCCAGTTAAGAATCCCTTGCTCCGTTTCTCTCCTAGGACCTTGCTTTACTTATGCTGCTCTGTTTCTACTTTATTGTTGGCCTCAACAGAGAACATCTCTGTGTTTAAAGTGACTGGAAAAGACTTCAACATTGTGCTTCCCATTCTCTTATCCCATGCAGATTTGTTGCCCATTGGAATATTGCAAAATCAATGGCTGGATATTACCAGGAGTCTGGAAGGGCTGGAAGAGATGGAAAGAAGTCCTTTTGCCGTCTCTATTACTCTAGGAATGATCGGGATCAAGTCTCCTTCCTGATCAAGAAGGAGCTCTCTAAACTCCAGGTAGGAACTGTAGAAGAGCTTTCTGCTGCTCTGCTAATACTAGATTTGCACTTTGTCTGTGTCACAGCCATGGCTTCTTGTTAGCATTGCCTGCCACATAATACATGACACTATAGATGCTCCCTGCCTCAGCTCATAACTTATGGCAGCTGTTTTGCAGCAGGGCAGTCTATGCTGCAAGCTTAACATCCATTTTTACACAGGAAAATAATCAACTTAGAATTTGGTTTTCTGTGCTTTTAAAGAAGCAAGTGCTTGAAGCCAAGGCCCTAACTTGGTTCAGGGCTTGCACTGAAGAGCAATTTCTCTATCCAGATCTCCCCTCCAGGTACTCTCTTGGGGTGTGTCTAGACTACATGCCTCCTTCGACGGAGGCATGTAGATTAGCCAGATCGAAAGAGGGAAATGAAGCCGCGATTAAAATACTCGCGGCTTCATTTAAATTTAAATGGCTGCCCCGATCTGCCGATCAGCTGTTTGTTGGCAGATCGGGGGAGTCTGGACGCGATGCCCCGACAAAGAAGCCTTTCTTCATCGACACAGGTAAGCCTCGTGAAACCAGGTTTACCTGTGTCGATGAAGAAAGGCTTCTTTGTCGGGGCATCGCGTCCAGACTCCCCCGATCTGCCGACAAACAGCTGATCGGCAGATCGGGGCAGCCATTTAAATTTAAATGAAGCCGCGATTATTTTAATCGCGGCTTCATTTCCCCCTTCCGATCTGGCTAATCTACATGCCTCCGTCGAAGGAGGCATGTAGTCTAGACACACCCTTGGAGAGGAAGCAGATGAGCCGTCTTAACTGACCTGGTGGCTTCTGATTGGACAGGGTCTGTTCCTAGCCTTTCTGTACCACTGGAGGACTAATTCTTTTTGGTAGCCTGGACTGAATTGGTTTTCCTCAAGCAAGGGCTGTCAGTGATCTAATAACTGCAGCAAGATGTAGAGCAGGCCAGATATGATACGCTCCTTCGCATTCTAGTTCAGGGCTCTCAACCTTTCCAAACTATCATATCTTGCGTAACAACAAGTTTCATCTCACTTAAAAATACTTGCTTACAAAATCAGACGTAAAAATACCAAAGTGTCACAGCCCTGATATATGAGAAATATTTGAGAAATGGCTTTCTCATTTTCATCATATAATATTAAAATAAATCAATTGGAATATAAATAGTATACTTACAGTTCAGTGCAGAATAAACAAGTCATTGTCTGCATGAAATTTTAGTTTGTATGGTTTCAATAGTGCTTTTTATGTAGCGTGTTTTAAAACTAGTCAGATCTCTAGATGAGTAGACATATCCCCGAATCACCTCAGCATACCCCCAGAGGTATACATACTCCTGGTTGAAAAACCACTGGTCTAGTTAGCCCTTCATTCATGCTTATATCGTACTGTCCTGAGAGAGAATAGAGTTTCCCCAGATCTGGCCACATTTCTTCACTAGGACTGGTGATAGAGGCATTGGGCTTGGATCTGGCCACAGCAGTGTTGGAATTCAGAGTGGAAGAGGTAGAAGTGCTGAGGAAGGGATGGCTGGTGCATTCTGCAGATCTGTCAGGGAGTATGGAGACGTGGCTAAGGAGGTTGCTCTTGGCCACTATACTACCATGAAGTGGTGAAGTGGCACTTAGCTCTGGTTGCAGTGATGTTCTGGAAAGATGCTGCATCCATCCATAGCTACATCAAAGGTGGCTTTTAAGTATTCTTTCTTACTTGCAGGAGAAAAGAGGCACCTTGAAAGAATCTGATAAAGCTACGCTGTCGTCCTTTGATGCTATGGTGAACTTCTGTGAAGCGCTGGGGTAAGAGTGTTTCATATATACATTGATGGGGAAAGAACAGGTGGTGACTTAATCTACTCTTCCTCACACCATTACTATCAGTGTTTTCTGTAGTAATGTGACTGTGGAAAAACTTAAATTACTAGACCTTGGAGTTGTAGTGGAAAATGTGAACTGAATGTAACAGATGCAGTGTTGTTTACAGACCTAGGAAAACTGTCAGAAATAGTCATTTGAACTTCCTGCTTTTATTTTAATTGGTTGCTACTCCTGAAAGACAGGGTGGTAGGTTAGGTGGGCCATTGGTTTGTTGCAGGGGGTCCATTCTTATGTTATGGTCATAAAACCCATAATTTGCCTCCCTGTTTTCCTGGGCACTGAAATACACCACTGTCTCCTGTTTAAAAACTCTGATTTCCTCTATGACCACTTCCGTGAGGCTGTTATTTACTGCCAATAGAGAAATTTGCAGCATGTTAAAAGTCAGAGCACAACAAAATAACTGGACTGTGATATTAAAATAAGTAGCCAAAAGTTGTATTTGCATATTTAAAACACTTTTAAGTGTATTTGAAACTACTCTGGAATTCCTAACCCTGCATTGCAGAAACCAGGAGCCCTTGCATTAGATTGCATTTGACACACCTACTCTGGGTCCGAGTCACATTGCCTTTGAGACGGCCCAGTTCAATGGCTTATGTAACCATATGCGGTACCATCTCGCCTTCATTCAGTGCATCTCATCTTTCTTTGTTTCCTGCCCATTGTCATCAAGACCTCAGAGTTTGAAAGTTGAACCTAGCATTGTATATTGATGATTTGCTTATCGGAAGGAGCTTCTGTATGACCATGAGACCCTCCCATGCGGAATTGTCATGCAGCATCAGCATTTTTCTGCTGAAGAAACCAAAGGGAATGGGCAGTGTTTCTTTGTGCAGCTTTTGCTATTTTCAGACTCACATTGGAGCCTTTAGTTGTCTATCTTTGACTTTTTCTTTGCCACATCATCTCCCCTGTAAATAAATGCATAATCTAAAGCACAGTGTTTTGGTGTAGAAGCATTTAGCTTTAATGTTTGTGTCTGACTCAGAGAGGCTCCCTGCTGCAAGTTGCTAAAAAAAAATTCCCTAATTCTTGTTATCCTCAACAGGAGTTTATGGTGCTCAGCGCCTTTCAGGATCAGACCTATAGCATGGACACGCCCAAGTTGGGGAACCTAAATGCAGCCTTGTAACCACTACACACGTTACAAATAGAGTACTATAACTCTGAGAAGGCTGTAATTGTAACAAATTACTATGTGACACTAGCCTGAGACAGCAAGACCTTAATTTTGCCAATAAGAGAGCAATGTATGTTTACAACCTGGGAAATGAATATCTTCTCTCCCACATACTGCCTTGAATTCATTTTCATTGTGCAGCTCTGTCCAGGGTGGTTTTGCCAAGATTCATGTGGAAATAGGAATATTTATTTTCTCACTGCTGGAGCCCTGACAAGGGTGTTGCTTTCAGTCATGCTTTGAATCGGATATTCTGAAGGATTTTTATTATTTGTCCTGAGGTATGGCCCAAATATTAGAATAATTGGCATGACCTTGCAACAATGCTTGATAGGTTGCAGTTAGGGTGACTCCACTGGATGCCTGCTGTGAGACACCATGCTCTAATATTTTGGACAGTTTATACAGCTAAGTCAATCTCTAGCTGCTGACACATGCCTTTAGTCTAGGGCCTTGGTATCCAACATGGTAGCGACTAGACACATTGGCTACAGTATTTGGCCAGTTGAGTGTGGCTAGTTGGCTTGCCAATGTGGCTATTTGGCTGGTTGAGTTTGGCTAGTTGAATGTGGCTATTTGGCTGGTTGAGTGTGGCTTCAAGAGAGATGTTTATTTTCATGCATGCAAGATATTTTAGGTTATTTTGTAACCAGAGCAGACGAATGATTGCACCAGCCTCCTTTAATGAGAGCTTTTTACATAGAAGGGTTGAGAGGAGCTTTTAATCTGGAGACTATTTCTTCATCTGCACGTGTGGCAAAAAAGAGGTACCATTGCCTTGGTGGGATTACTTGAGGGTCTCTCCCATCTTCACACTGGCAGGTGGTCATTTACAAATACTTAATCTCATAGTTTTCCTTGTCAGGGAAAAGTTCAGACAAGCAAATACCTTGACTGTAAGGTTTGGCTGGTCATGTGGTGCTGAATTCAGATTGCATTGTGTGTTGAGATTGCTCCTGAAAGGGAGGCCCTCATGCTGTTGTGCAATCAATTAGCAATCTTATGTGTGGGCTGTCAGCTTGTGAGTGCCTCAAATCTGTGTGTGAAGAAATCATTGCAGAAGAAGGATAAAGGATGAAGCTTCCCTTTAATCTGATCAAGTAGTTCATGGATGGGATGATTCTTGCCTGTTAGCGGTGTTCTTGAAATGCCCCACTCTTGTTCTTGCTGTTTATATGCAACTTGATTTGCGCTTGGGAGCAGAGTAGCAGCCAAAGATGGCAGCAAACAGGAGGAGGGCAATGAAGACTATGCAGAATGACCCAATCACCACAAGGCCCCCAAGAGCCCACTTATCTGTCAGAATGCAACTCTTCAAGTCTTCCAAAACTGATGAAGCTGCTTGCATTGAGGACGACATGCTGACCTGCCCCTGCTGGAATTAAAATGGGGAAACCAGATGAGTGTCTGATGCTTGTGTGCCTTCTCTATTTCCTCAACAGATACATGCACTCACACACCCTTTACAAACTTACTAGCGTTGTTCTTTTGAAAGGTGTAGCCTCTCTTCAGAAAAACAGATCCCATGAACATAAACACAATATAAAATACCAAAGAACCATCCAGCGACCAGTGCCATAGATCAGAGAAGAGAGAATATTCTGCCCTTAAAAAAAATTCTGTTCACAGATTAATTATTCCAGTAGCGGGATCTTATTTTACTAATATTTTAGCAGTGTCGGCTAGTGCAGCTACAGTTATGGCTTTTTCAGAATCTTCAGTATAAGGATTGCATAGTCTGTGTGTAAAAGAACTATAATAAAAATAAATGACTGTAGCAAGTCTGTTGAAGCAGATCTTTACCAGGATAAATCGGGATAGCTCCACTGAAGTTAATGAGAGACTCAGATTTATATCAGTTGAGGGGTGTCTCTCTCTTAAAATAAAAAGTTAGGCTCTTACGTCGTGGGAGTACACCAGAAATGGAAGTAGGCTCTTGTTTCCCTATAAAAAAAGAAATATGTTCTGCAGCCATGTCGTCCAATGTTGGATTAAACCCTCTTGTTGTTTAATACAAAAAGATAAGGAATTAGACCAAGTTATCACCATACAAACATTTCTCTTTCTGCAGGTGTAGTTATATAGAAAGTGTTAGTTTTAACATTGAATCCCCTAACTTTTTCCTGTTTTTGACTCAAACCTTTAACAATAGCACATGCTTGTGTGTGCCCCCACAGTGTCTCACTAGGGGTGTTAGACTGCAACAAAAATGTTTTCTTTTTATTGACAATTTAATCTGGAGGCTCACTAGCTCTACACACTTTGCTCTTTCAGTGCCATTTTGCTCGTTGCCTGGCTCACAACCGTACTGTTACACCATTGAATAAATGTCTAATATCTCTTGGCAAGAAGATGTAATGTTTCCCTGCTTTATACTCCACAGTGAGAAAAGAAAGGTTGAATAGATTTTAAATCCTTCCATCAGAGAGTGACTGCTGTGCTGACCTCAATTCTTAATATGAGGTCAAGGGAGACAACACTTCACTAACTTATTTCAGTCTACCTATTACCTGTATTGGTCACCTCCCCTTATTTTTTGTCCTTAATACTGCATGAAAGGAAAGAGATATTCTAGGCAGTGGAAAGGGCTGGGGGGAGGGCGCGCTGCACGCCCGGTTGTGCTGAGAGCAAGCTGCCCTCAGCCCTACCTCTTCCAGGAGTGTGGAGCCAAACCCCCCACCCCCCCCGGGCGCGCGCGCACACACACACACACACACACACACACACCTCTTTCCTGGGGGGCCGTGGAAGCTGTCAGTTCTGCTGGAAAGGGATTAGAGAGTGTTAAGTTAATTTCACCCTCACAAAGCTGTTCCCAGGATTCAGCTTCAGTTACTGCTTGTTACTTCTGCCCCAGCAGCCAAAGTTTTTTGACGATGCTTTGGTTTTGGAATCACAACAGATCATTGCAATAGGGACCTTTATAACTATGCAGTTAAACAAAAGACCTCTCTGGATAGTTCACCTCAAGAAGGCTGCATGCAGACTCTCTGGAACTGTCCCCTCTCCTTGTAAAATAGTGACACCAGCGATAGCATTGAAACAGGTCTCCTCCACGCCCAAGGGAAGAAATACAGTCTGGATAACCCAAAACTGCTCTTTCCTCTGAATGCAGCCTTGAACAAAGATGTTGTGGGAAGTTCCACTGTTACCTGAAGCTGCTGTGGATGTAGCATTTGTACCTTCCGCTGCTAGTGCCTTCTCTGCACGTCCTGCAGAAGATCCTGGCCTGCAAAGAGGACCCTCGTCTGAGTGCATGCGAAGTGCGGACTCTGTGGGAATTGCCTGTTGGTATTTTAGTAAATGATTAACAGTGGTGGCAGTGTTTTGTGTCTCCCATTCAGACGTTTCTGGAAGGGTGGTGAGGCTTATCTGTGGCTTGTCCAATTATGCAGTTCAGAGATTTAGTTTGCCCATGACTCAGCCACTTCTCAGCCTTATTTGTGTGTGTGTTTCAGTTGTAGTGGAAAGGAAATGTAGGTGTGAAGCTGAGTTGTATATGCATGCCCTTGGTATGATTTTGGCCATGGATGTCATCCCATCATGATGCAATGTCCTAATGTGATGCAGTGTTAACTCCAAAGGATATTTGTAAACATTTCAATGTCCTGAAGTTCATTCCTGTGTGATGTGAGACTGACATAGGAAACAATGCAGCAGGTAGCAACCCTTCTTCACTGTTATTCATTCCACTGATCTTTTTGCTGTATGGTGTCCACATGATACTGTGATTGAATCA